ACATTCTGTGCTCATGACCTGTTTAAAAGCCATACGGTCAGCCAGGCAGAGTGGCGCACACCTTTAATCCCAGTTTGCAAGAAGCAGAGATGTTCGAGGTCAGTTTGATCTAGTGAGTTCTAGGCCAGCCAGGGGGCTACAGAGACACTGTCTTAAACACAACACAACACATGAAACTCATACTGCTACCTTAGAAACAGAAACATCACCACCAGACAGCTTCCTCCCTCCACCCCAATTCCTATGTCAAGTATTTAACCTCAAGCTTGTGACTGGCTTACTTCCTCTCCTTTCTCTAACTACAAAGGCTGCCCACATCTTACTCCCCTCATTTGTCCACGGGTGCCCAAATTTCATGTCACATGTAGGTTGTTTGGTGTATTAAGGCATCTCATGGGTGCCACCAGCCAGGAGTTAACCTAGAGAAGTTTTCTGCACTAAGTGGATCGTTTCTCACTGAAGTCTAGATTCAAAAAAAAAAAAAAAAATCAGCACAAACTAAGGTTGGCGTTCTTATAATATAATTTAATTTCAGGTACCGGAAAGCAGACTGCGGGGTGTGACCTTCCGCCCTGTTCCTTACCAGCTGGGATGACATGGGCGGGCACTCCTTCCTCAGTGTGCAGCTCCTCACTTGTAGGATAAGAGGCATTCCGGGCTCTTGTGTAAATTAACCAAACTGAACATGTGTAGTTACTACGAGAAAGGGAGAGAGAGAGAGAGAGAGAGAGAGAGAGAGAGAGAGAACAAAAACAAAATGAATTCTTTCCTTCCAAAGGTTTTCTCTTTACAGGTTGTGTACAGAAGGAAACTTCCCCAAGTTCCTACTTTGAGCTTTCTGAGCACAGAGCTCTGGTGTGTGCCCCGCTATACTTTACATTTAGTTTATTCTGGGCACCATGCCAAGATGACACCTACTTCCTCTCGAAACTCCTGTCACTAGAGTACTGTAGCGTGCTTTTCTAATCATTGTGATAAACACCTGGAAGAAGGTTCCTCTGCACTCAGTCTTGAAAGAGTGTGGTTCGCGGTGGGGGAGCCTAGGAGCTGGCCTTCACCTGCCAAGGTCCAGCCTGTGGCTGCTGATTACATGGCTACCAACAAAGCAGACTGGGCTGTTACCATCACCTTCAAGGTCCCCCCAGGAACCTTCCCCCAGGCAGGTTCTACCTCCTCAAGTTTCTACAACCTTTTCAAAGTGCTAGGGACCAAGTGTTGAGACATGTAAGCCCGTGGAGGATAGATATTCCATGCACGGGACTACAGCACTCATTGAGGAGTATGCCATTCTTGTTGAGAACAGCAGTGGCCATCCTTGGTGTTTCTTCTAATATCTCAGCAGTGCATCCTCAACTCCAGATGTAAACTCAAATATACATGCCGGACGCGAAACATTCCATTCAAATTCCTTAAAGCACACCGGTCTCCCACCAGGTACCACTTGCTAACACTCTATGTTGTGTGAAAGGCCCACACATGCCCTTATCTTCACAAGATGCTTGTGTGTGTTGTGTGGGATCAAACCCAGCATCTCATGAATAAAAATTAAGCACCCAGCACACTGAGATAACACCCTTAGACTTCACAATCCCTCCACATAGTCCTCTCTGCATACACAGCATCCATTCCATTTCCAGGGAGAAGCAAGGTGGTGATGTGGAATTCCCCTCAGTATGCTGTGAATATGTTTTACTGCCATTGGTTAATAAAGAAACTGCTTTTGACCAATGGCTTAACAGAGTAAAGCCAGACAGGAAATCCAAACAGAGATGTGGACAGAGAGTAGGCAGAGTCAGAGAGACGCCATGTAGCCACCACAGGAGACAGATGGCCCAGAACCTTACCGATAAACTACAAGGTTCGTGGTAAAATATAAAAGGAATGGGTTAAGATGTAAGAGCTAGCTAGAAATAGGCATGAGCTAATTGGCCAACCAGTATTGTAATTAATACAGTTTCTGCATGATTATTCCAGTCTGGGTGGCCAGGAAATGAACAAGCAGTCTCTGCCTACATGGTGGTATAATCAACCTTTGCCAGAGTTTCTGGTTTTCTCTCTGAGTACATGAAAGGATTAGTCTTTCCTGGAAAAATGTAAACCATGGCCATAAAACTTGGCTAATAGAAGTGGAAGTGGGTGGCGTCTAAGCAAAAACACAAGAGCTAGGGGATGAATTCTTTCTACTCGCCCCCGTGGCTCCTGAAGTACAGCTTGTTCAAACCCTTTAGGATCTGGAGACTCTTGGATACACTAGTTGGGATGGGAAGTTGTCCTGTTCTGTCACGTACTCAACAGTTACACACAGCAAATTCTTAGCTTTTTTGTTGTTGTAATTTCAATGGGGCTTCTGATATAAACAGAGTGATGATTTGGACTAAGGTATGCAGTTTGTGATAATAAACTTGTTTCTCTGAAACTATTTTACGTAGGCTTTCAAAAAGGGATCTCTCCTTTACCCAGTTATATTTTGCCAAACACGCCAGCATCTGTTCCATTAGTAGGGCTTACAATACAGGAGTCCACATGAACCTATTTTTGTAAAGTAGGCCTGGAGACTACTCTATCTCCATTGTTCAAATGTTGTCCGACTTTTATAAAGTTCTAGCATATTTTATACTTCTGTCTGCTGTATAGCCCTTAAACTACTGCCAAGAAAATAAAATCCTTCAATACTGCAGATGATAGTATTCAAACTGGAAGAAACAAAACAGCATGACAATTTAGTTAAATCAGAAAGTCTGCCTTTTGCTAGATAGATAAGAGTATGTAAAAAGAGGAAGTAAAACCAATAGGTTCAAGAAGAAACAACGGATAGAAGAAAATTATCAGATCTCAAAGTTCTCCTGTTCCAAGGAGATTGTAAGGTATGAACACAGCTGAGATGACCAAATCCATTTATGAATTAGGCTGAGCAGGGCCCTCTTGAGGACCAGGAGAGAGAAATACACTTCCCCTTCTTATCACAATGACTTGTTTTCCAGGAGGAAAAACAAAGCAACCCTAATAACTATTGTAAACTGGCTATGAGAACTTCAAGGCCAAAGCCAACACTCTGGAGTACCATTTTCCCTCAAAACAGAAGTCAGTACAGAGATGGGCATGTCACTCTGCAGTGAAGGAATCCTGCAGACTGGACCCTTAGGCTGGATGCTGTCACCAAGAGCCACTGTGATTCTCAAAGACACTCTTCCCAGGAGCTTGTTTCTAACGAGGTAGATTATACCCTGCAGGGCGATTGATAGGCCACACACACACACACACACACACACACACACACACACACACACGGAAGCTGCTGTTTCCAGACTGTAAGGAGATCCCTCACACGAGCGCGTCTGTCACTATCACATAATCAGGCGCTCCGCTCCTAGCTTGCATTACATACTGCCTCCAACAAGAAGCTCAAGATGGGAGCCGTTCTCTGAATGCTGAGGGAGAACACGAAAATCAGACCACATGCCCACCATCTGTATTTGTACTTGTCAACAGCTCTGTTTTTGGATAAACACGTTTGAAGTAAGAATCAATTCAGCTTGGAAGATTAGCCAAGGAATAGCTCACAGACCCAAACAAAATGTGAAGTCAGATAGTCTAGAAACCGAGCACAAGTTGTTTCCCACTAAACATTCTGTTTTGTCACAGCCCGAGAGGAAGATGGTGGCAACTAGGGTTTGGGGGCACAGGGACAAGGAAAATGTATTTACCCAAGCGGAAAAATGTCCACCCTAGAACAATTGTCTTTGCTACAATCCAAATGAAAACCATTCATGGACTACATATAAACTACAGTTAAGAAAAAGTAATTTTAGCATTTACAATCTGTTTCAGAATTCTATCACATAAAGGTATGCACAGGGGACAATATGTACTGGTCCAGGTGCATAATATGGTCCTTTATTACCATAAAAATGGTGGCATTTCCCAGAGTCAATCTTGATTAAAAGTGGTTCTGTGGATGAAAACACTGCTCTATAGTAGAGCTATTAAGCTGGAAATGACAAGGGGGAAATAAAGACTTACACACTGCAGGAGAGGTCGGGGAAGAAGAGAGCAAAGTTGGGGTCCCACACACTGCAGGAGAGGTCGGGGAAGAAGACAGCAAAGCCGGGGTCCCACATACTGGAGGAGACAGCAACGGAATTGCGTTCAGGGGCAGTTGATGGAGTGAATGAAGGGACACAGTAACCTGGCAGCCTCACACACTCTACAAAACAAATGAGAACAGGTGTGCTCCACACGGAGAGATATCCATTTTCTCCAGAAAAGCAGCCATTTGTAAAAGAACAAATTGGTGATTTGTACTTACACACTAGTTCCTATTCAAGTCTGTCAGGAAGTGATAAATTACTGAAGCTTCAGATAAAGTGTTTTATTTTCAATGTGTACACCATCAAACCTTACAAAACATTTCTCTTTCCCTGAGTTATCAATAGTTTCTGATTCCTGTTTGAGTGAGACAAATGTCGCACACACCTCTCCAAAAAGCCCCCTCTCCCTCCCTAGCTTCCCATCTGCCCCCAGATCCAATCAGGCAATTGTTAAAAAACACACTCCAAGTCCCAAGACAGGAATTCTGTTTAGATTGAAGGAGGGCTGAGGAAAGTCAAAAGTCTCCATGGTCTTCCAGTGTCCACACAACCAAAGCAACCAAACACACGGTTTCTAGAGTGCAAGCTTCATCATGAGGAACATGACCTGAAGACAGGAGCATCTGAGCACTTGAAAACTGAGTTATGTACTCCACCTCGACCATAGCCCGCTACACAGAAACAGCTGAGCACCTCCTGGCTTGGCAAGCCAAGATTTACACCGATTAACGCCAATGCTCCTGAGAGGAAGCAAGTCAACACAAGATGCCTACCTGCACAGAACTGGTGGAGCATGGTTAACCTCATAATTTCCAAATCAAGAGATTTGCAATCTTTGTGGAGATACCACCACTAGATTGTTCAATGAAATGACACTGCTGGAATCGGGTAAAATAATCCAGGAGAGATGTATTAGTATTTTTGCTTTTTTTTAATTTTAATATTCTGTACAGACAGGAGTAAATGTGAACATGAAACGTTTAAGACTTGATTTGTAATGTAACACTTCCATCTTATTTAAATGTCAATTAAAAAAACAAAACACACCAACCAACCACTATGAAAACAGGCGGCAACTAGGGTCGTAAAAGAACAAAAAAAACAAGCTCTTCATAATCAAGTACATCCAAGTGTGAAGAGGGCTGCTCCTGGTGTCTTCACATCCTTCGCTTCTGTGTACTTATATACAGCACTGAAAAGACAGAAAGAATTAATAATCACTCCTACGTCACAGTAGCAGATTTAAAGACAAGCAGGGCCCGGCCATCGACCAAGCAATAGAATATCAGTATAAAATAAGCTTTGAGTCTAAACCTGGCTTTGGTATCTGACACGATTACAACTAGTCTTATCTATACATGTTACTGACTTTACAAATTAGGACTAGAAATTAAAAGTGGATGTGCCTAAAACTTAAGAATGTTTTGTAATTAGCTATATCACAATTAAACAGCTAGATCCTCTAGGCTGGATCTCACAAGGAGAATGGCCAACACATGTGGCTGGAGAGATGGCTCAGCACTTAAAATGGCGTATCACGCAAGAGCACTCGCAGATTTTACAGAGCATCACTGCTGGGTCACAACCATCTGGAATTTGAATTCCAGGGAGTCCAGTGACCATGTCTGGCCTCAAGTACCAGGCACACATGTGATTTGTTTACATGCACGAAGATACACTAAAAGTATATTTTCATCTATCTCTCCAATATAAACTATAGTTTCTGTTCACTTTTATAATTTCCAGAGGAGAAAAAAAAAAAGGAGAAGGTATTTTTAGGAATAAGCAAGTGCTTAGCCTGAGATTGCTATCAGTAACAACCTTGGGTGCCATCCAATGTTGAACTTTGCTGGTCACACCACGACCAACTTACTGAGTACAACACAGCATGTGCTGCATAGAGACAGGTTCAAGGAGGCAACTGGGCCACTGGGCAAGCTACCACCTCAGGTGTACCTTCTCCTACCCCACACATCCTCAGACACTGACACACAGTAAGCATGGCAGTGAAGCTGCTCACAGCAATAGAACTTAGAGCCATGATGTGGGTTCCCCTTTTTGTGCTGTGAATGTTTTATTACTACTGGTTAATAAAGAATCTGCTTTGACTTATGACAGGGCTGAATAAAGCCAGGCAGGAAATCCCAACAGAGATATATAGAGAGAATAGGTAGAGTCAGGGAGATGCCACGTAACTGCCAAAGAAGGATGCTCAGAACCTTCCCATAGGCCACAAACTCGCAAAGATACACAGATTAATAGAGATGGGTTAATTTAAGATATAAGAGTTAGCTAGAAATACACCTAAGGTATTGGCCAAACTGTAGTAATTAATATAGTTTCTGTGTGATTATTCGGGTCTGGACGGCTGGGAAACTAATTTACATACTGGAGCCAACATGGGGCAAGAATTTCGACATACAGCCTAAGAAAGTTTAAATTATTAAAACAAAAAACAAATGACTTCTAGACCCACAAAAACAGGGATCAACTGCAGCTTCTTGGTAGCTGCATTTTTCTCAGATAGGCTCTGTTTGCTGGAGGTGAGCACAGGCATGGCTCCTTTAAGAGAAGGCTTCCTGACTCAGCATTAGCAGCAAAAACCGCATGGCTTCTTTAAGAGCCAACTTCTTGGTTCATGTTGGTAGCACAGATAGCTCTGGCTCTTTTGGGAGGTTTGTGAGCAGCGTGCTACTAGTTGCTTAATGGCGACATAGACTGGCTGCATCCCTGGAGCTGGGTGGTGAGCACAGCTAGCAGAGGAGGCAAATATACCTCTGCCATGTTGGACAGGGTGGAGCCAACAGGCAGGTACAAGGAGTTGGTCCTAGCCTGCTGTAGAGTCTTACAGCTAGTGGTTACCGGCTCACTGCGGCGTGGCCTCTTATACTAGACAAGCCGATGTAGAGCACGTGTCCAGCCTCTCTGTTCCGGCTGAGGATTTAGGTTTCTGACCTCCGTTCAAGCAGAGGATTCTGATTTGTGAGTCTACCGCTAAATAAATAACCATCTATTTCTCAATTCTGAGCTAGTGTGGGATTTCTTTTAAGCGTCCTTTTTCACTAACTATGCCCGCTTATGGTTTTAAGAAGCGTTTCTGGTCAGACAATGATTATAGATGCACAATAAAGACAGATTCAGACAAAAGTAAACTTCTGAACAGGTCACAGTGTGTTTAAAAAATGTACATAGGCGTGGGAGAGAAAGGAAAAAGAGTATAAATAAGAGTACAGACAGATATAGATTAAAGGAGTAAAGATAATAAATCTTAAAAATAAGTAAAAAAGTCATGTAAAAATGAAAAATACACAATCTGCATTACACGTATTATTGTGTTTTCTTTGAAATTTTTGACTGCAGAGAAACATTTAATTCTGGGGGAGCTAAGCTAAACCAACATACATATTTTAAAGGTGTCTTGACTTTAAAATTTGGGTCTAAGGATATATTGCTTTGGAAAAAAGAGGTTCTGCTTTTGTTTCCACAGAGGATGAGAACCTGTGGATTCCTTCCAGGCAATGTGGCTTGATGGAACAAGACCCTCTGAAAGGTCTCCATGAACCCTAAAAATACTTTACCCAACAAACAGCAGGAAGCAGTTTGGAGAAAACTATGCCCAAATTCCCAAAAGGATTGTGCATAAATGTTTATTTTCATTTTAAAAGGGTTGGCTATAAATGTTTAATGGTCACAGTCAATTTCTTTAAAAAAAAAAAGGTGGGAGGTATGATTAGAAATGAAATCACTGGTATGGATTTTGGTTTATGTCAATTTTATGTACATTTTTATTCTTGTTTAAATATATGTTTATACAGCTCATTAAAAATTATGGATTAAGCCGGGCGATGGTGGCGCACGCCTTTAATCCCAGCACTCGGGAGGCAGAGGCAGGCGGATCTCTGTGAGTTCGAGACCAGCCTGGTCTACAGAGCTAGTTCCAGGACAGGCTCCAAAACCACAGAGAAACCCTGTCTCGAAAAACCAAAAAAAAAAAAAAAAAAAAAAAAAAAAAAAAAAAATTATGGATTAATAGATAGTCATCTATAACAGTCAAACTTGTAGTCATGTTAGTTAGGTTTTCTAGATGTACATAAATATATTTCAGATGGATAGGTATTCTTCAAACCTTTCAAAGACCTACAGAACATGGCATTTAAAATGTTTTAAGAACTTAAGACTTTCCTTGACGGTGGGATATGTCTGCTTCAGACAGCATCAATCTACTTCAAGAGGATGATGGGCATCAAAGAGGGTCCTTATGAAGTTTGCTATCCATCTGAGCAAGAAACTGCTCTTGCCTGGACTGCTTGACAGTATGCTGTATGAACTGAATATGCAGGACCCCCAGAAAAGTGACTGCTGAACTTTCCAAAACACGGGATGGTCCTTCAGGGTTCCTGCTTCATGAAAGAGTCTGCCATACATTCTGCAGGACACAGAAGAAAGTGACTGACAAACTGCTAATATAGGTGAAATAGACTTTCCAATTTCCTGCTTCATGGAAAAATCTGCCTAATACTATGGGCCTGTGGGCTGAAGATGGATGACCCAACGTGACAGAAAAACTTTGGATGACTGTCCAGGCAGTGAGATGACTCTGTCAATTCTAGAGCTTTGGAAGTTGCTAACAATGCACTTCCTGCTAATGTAGGTAATATATCCTTCTGGGGTCTTTGATGGAGTTGAATGCTAGGTAGTCATAATGATAGTTTTCCTTAGTTATAATAAAAGATAAACTAAATATAAAACTTTAGACTCACAAAGAAATATTATAACTAATTCTTGCTTGATAACTGTTTTATTATATGTAATTTTACTATGTTAAAGTTAAAATACTTTTTATTTAGACAAAAAGGGGAAATGATGTAGAATTCCCCTCTTTATGCTATGAATATGTTTTATTATCATTGGTTAATAAAGAAGTTGTTTCAACCTATAGCAGGGCAGAATAAATTCAGGTAGGAAATCTGAACACAGATAGAGACTAGGCAGAGTCAGGAAGACGCCATGTAGCTGCTGAAAAAGGATGCTGGAACCTTACAGGTAGGCCACAGCCTCATGACAATATAGAGATTAATAGAAATGGGTTAATTTAAGATGTAAGAGCTAGCTAGGACTTCGCCTAAGCTACTGGTCAAACAATGTTGTAATTAATATAGTTTTTGCGTGATTATTCAGGTCTAGACGGCCGAGAAACTAAGGTGCAGTCTCCATTTACAGAGCCACACTCTCTACTATGTCACTTCAGCTGGACTGAAAGGCACAAATCCCCGCACCTGAAACTTACCTAGAAAAATGACAGAAGTTTGGAGAGTGTGAAGGTGGCATAGGAATAGCTTCTATTCTACAGATGGCACTGGGAGAATGTAATAAATGATATTTAAGCCAGGTAGCACTTGGGAGGCAGAGGCAGGTGGATCTCTGTGAGTTTGAGGCCAGCCTGGTCTACAAGAGCAAGTTCCAAGACAGGCCCCAAAGTTACAGAGAAACCTGTCTTGAAAACTCCCCCACCCCCCCCACCCCCAAAGAAGAAGAAAAAAGGTAGTCGGAGGGGAGGAAAAAGGAGAAGAAGAGAATAGGAAGAGGAGAAGGAGGAAGAGGAAAGATATTTAAGATAACAGGGTTGCCAGGCAGCAGTGGTGCATGCCTTTAATCCCAGCACTAGGGAGACAGAGGCAGGCAGATCTCTGTGAGTTTGAAGCCAGCCTGGTCTACAAAGTGAGTTCTAAGACAGATAGGGCTACACAGAGAAACCCTGTCTCAAAAAACAAAACAAAAGATAACAGGCTCCTGAAGAATAAAGAAATATCCTTCAGCTCTTCATCAATAGAGTGAGAGAAAAAATTTCTACTTCCAAGCCATGGAAAATTCTCTTTCCATTCAAAAACAGAACAAGTTTATGCAAAAATCTAAAATATAAGCACAACAAACAAACAAAATGAAAAGGGGCCTTACCATCATCTAGAAACCCCCAGTGCCCTCACATACGAGACAAAGACTTATTCTGAACACTACCACAAGAGAAGCGGTTACCATTGTTTCCGCGGATGAAGGCATCCCCATACTTATTCTTCAGCTGCCCATTTACATACTCTTCCGTCTGCTCCAGTGCTATATTCATGTAGCCATCCAGGCAGGCCAGGACCCCTGGAGAAAAGTAAGAAAGGACTGAAATTACAGGGTATATCTTAGAACCGACAATCACTTTATTCATTAGCCTCCAAACACATAATATAAAAATTCACACTGTAAACAAAACTCAATAGACTTAAACACAAAAGGAGCTTTTACTCTGTGCCAATCTTAATGAAGGCTGGATGGGTATAGCATCCACAACTCCACGACAGGCAACCAACTGCCACTCCGCTCCTGGTATGTGTGATCACCACAGCAACTCTGAAAGCCTTCACAAAAGTATAAGCACTAGAATATTCCAACCAAAGTGCTCTTCTTTGGGAGCGAGGGACAGACATAGCAACTATGCGTGGACAAATGAGCCTTCAACCCAGTGACATTTGTTACTTCAGCCACTGGGTGAAATACGGATCTGGCAGATTTATCTCACTCTTGCACGACGCTACTGCAGCAGATGAATGTGCTCCGGGTTAAGAGGAAGTCTCCACAATCTGTTAAGATAATAGACAGCAGGTGCTCCTGAAAGAACAGCTCAAAGCTGTGACTGCAGTCAAGAGCAGCTTGTGAACAGAGAGCAACATATTGCATTACAACACACTGCATTCTGTTTTGTCAGTTAACACTATTTTTAAAATCAAAACTAATAGAGAAAAATGGCTACAAACATTCCAGAGAGCTTTCAAGGAAAACAGCTCAAGTGAATCATTAATTGTGTTAAGATGGTACAAATTTCTAAAATCTGACCAGGTGACGTTTTTCTAAAGATGAAACCAGTAAGCTTCTAATTCTCAGCCTCTAATCTAAAGTGATATTTGTAAGAATAAAAACATAGTACAGATTCAATTGAATTAACTAAGCCAATAGTCCCATTTAAAATCTTAACTTCATTAATATGCTCCTCGCTCTCTGCTTCTGCCCCCATTATCCTCTAAACAGAGGTTTCTTTTCAAAACCGTATGTGTGTGTAATCAGAACACAAGACATTAACCGAGCAGAATTCTATGAGCAGCAGTAAACTTGCAAAGGATCAGACTGGACTGTCAACTATCAGGCACAATGACTTCTCAGCCAGAGGAAGCTCAGGACAGCTTTTCTGCTGGCTGCTTCTCTACTGCATTATATTTAAAGAACATTTACAGACTAGCAAGAAATTCAAGGATATAATATGGAATTAGTCAAAAGGGTAATTCAAAACATAATGCTACTATTACTTGCTGTTACTAAAAATATCTAATCTTATAAAAAAGTTAAAAGATAAAAAATGAGGTTTTGCTCAGCTGTAGGGCATTTGCCTAGCACATGTAAGGCCCTGGGTTTAATCGCCCATATGCAAGAAACACAAAACAAAACCATTCAAGGTGTTAAAGTTGTAGCTCTTCCTCTTCTCCAAGAGCGAGAAGAAAAATGACAAGCCAGAGAACTGTCACAGGACACGGGTTCTTCCCCTTTTCTTCCTTCCTAGACTTTTCACTATGGAGACACTGGCAGAGCACCACCTTCGCTGCCTCCAGGTGCTGGGACTAAAGGTATGCACTTCCTAGACTTTCACTATGGAGACACTGGCAGGGACCCACCTTCGCTGCCTCCAGGTGCTGGGACTAAAGGTGTGTACCCACCCCAGCCCTGATCTTTCTTGTTAGAACATTATCGGTTATTGTAGGAAGGAAGAAAAAAACAGACTGTATAGGTGTGAACGCCCTGCCCTGTGGCACAGGGGATTATCTCCACACAGGGGAATACAGTGAAACATTGCTTCCCATTACTTGCCCGGAAGGCCTAAATAACAAACTAAAACACGTATTATACTTTTATAAACAGAAACACTTTCCCTAAAGAGAAAAGAACAAAAGGCTAAGATAGCTAACCTCTTCAGAGAGCGGATATTGAGAAAGTACCACACACAATGTGCCCATCTTACCCGCTGTCAAATACATGGAAATCCCTCTCTCTCTCCTTTGGGCTTACCCAAAGTTTATGGCTGCAAACCGGGCAAGGCGGCACACACAACCATAATTCTCATTCTCTGTCTCTCTCCATGTCCCTGTCTCTATCTCTCTCTGTTTTTCGAGACGGGGTCTTGCTGTGTTAACAACTCTGGCTGGTCACTCTGTAGACCATGCTGGCCTCGAACTCACAGAGAGCCGCCTGCCTCTACCTCCTGAGTGCTGGGATTAAAGGTGTATGCTATCACTGCCTGGCCACTGCCATAATTCTAACCTAGGGATGGGAAGGGATCAAGACAGAAAGAGAACTTGCCTGAAGATAGCCGGGTATTACAATAAGATCCTGACTCAAAAAGCAAGCAAGACAAAAAATACTGGCAATATGCTATTAATGTCAAGAAACTAAGAATAAAACAAAGTTATTTTCCCCTTTATTTTTCAAGATTTCATCTTACTTTAATGATGTGTATATGTACAGGTACATGCACATGAGCAGAGGTGCCCTTGAGGCCAGAGCTGTGGGATCCCCGGGAGCTGCCCAATGTGGACACTGGAAACTGAACGCAGGTCCTCTGTAAGAGCACTCAGTATGCTTAACTGCAGAACCATTTCTCTAGTCTCTGCCTTTTCTTTCTGCTCTACTGGGGATGGAACCCCACCCTCCTGCTTGAATCCCCTCGTCCTAGTACTGGGATTCCAGTGGGTTACTAAATATTTATTGCAGTCTTATGTTTGCCTGCATGTGTGTTGTCTGGTGTCTGAAGAGGACTGGATCCCTGGGCATTCAAGTTACCGATGGTTGTGAGATGCCCTGTGGGTGCTGGGAACCGAATGAGTCCTCTGCCAGACAACCAGTGCTCCTACTTCTGAGCCAGCTTTCCAGCCCAGTGATTTCTTAAGAAAGCTCTCCGGTCAAGTTTGTGTTTGCCCTGGCTCCTCACTTCCTTGGTGAGGGTAACCACAAAATCTCAGTTTATAGAAAACAAAATGACAATGTAGTGAAGTGATCAACACACACTGGGTTACATGTAAATGTGTGGACAGAAAACCTTGAAGAAATGTAGGGAAGAGACAAAGAAATGTCAACAAAACTGTGCTGATGAATTAATTAGCTACCACTCTGAAATAGTCTAAGTAGTTTAGCACATCTTAATTCGAGAAGAGTAGAAATTTCATAATTGGTAAAACAGAATCTGGTATTATTTCAGAGAACTGTTTTTGAAGCTGCTGTCACTGAGACCCAAGCTCTGTCCCCGAGCTCTGGCTCCATAAACACCACGCTGTGACTGAGACCCAAGCTCTGCTTCTATTCCATAACAACGTTCATCTTTAGTGGCTTCGGCCTGGCTCTCAGTAGTCTTCATTACCTTTTTGGGTTTTTGTTTCTTTTTGTTTTGAGAGAGGGTCTTATGTAGCCCAGGCTTGCTTCAAAATCAGATATAGCTGAAGCTCTCCTCAGACTCCGAATCCTCCTGTCTCTTGCCGGTGCTGGGATCATAAGCATGTACATTTATTGTTCCCAGAGCTCCTGACAAAGTGTTCTAAAAACAAAGATGCATCTCTGGATATACATTACATGACCAGATGGCCATGCTGTAAAATGAGTCTGTCTAAATAACAAGTTGCCAATCTTGAACTCTTCTGCAAAAGCAAATGCTGCTGAGCCCAGGTGTTCTTCGGTTCCCAGTGTTTCATGGCAGAGCTACTTCTGCCTCCCGAGTTGGTGTCAGGGACTTAGGCAGAAGAGCTCTCAGAACAGACAGGAGATGGACTAAGCACAAACACTGCAAGTCAGAGCCTACACTGCCGGCAGGCTTTTCAGTATGAAAGAAATCACCTCAGAGGTAGAAGACAGAAAAATTGTAAACGAGCAACATTTTGGTCTACTGAGTATGTTTAAGAGGTCAATAAAGTAATAAGTCATAGATTCTTGGTTACGGTAGTTAGGATCAAATTTGAAAATCCTACCTCGATAATCCACCCCAGAATTGAGCTTCACCACAACTGGCCGTCCGATGATCTGCTTTAAGAAGTCACTAGGGGTTTGCTTCCGCAGACTCATTCTTAACAATCCTGGTCAGAAATAGGAAGGAACAATAAATGTGCACACTAAAGTTAATTAGTCACCAAAAAACAAAACCAAAACAAGGTAACACAAAACTCTCGGGCCTTAACATGTCTATAGGAGATGAGCCATCAAAGAACTTGTATGACGTCCTGATGCACAGGACAGATGGACTGCTGCACACACCACCTCGCATAGCCCCACAGCAGCCCAAAGCAGCCCACAGCACAGCCTTAGAGCTCTTCACAGAGCAGTTATTCCTAATCACGTGTCCTGCTGTGTCACACACAAGACACCCATATAGCCACCTCTGGCAACTCTATCACCATAAATACAACATGCGATCTCCGTGAGAACCCTAGAAGAAGGCATAATATTCCCATTTTACTGAAGAAAACAGAATAGAAAGATTAAATGACTTCTGTTAAATTGTGGTGAAACAAAAATATGGTAGAATATTTAAGTTAAATCTAACTTAAAGCCCACATTATACAAAGTAGGTCCACTCATCAACAACTGACAAGTCATAACTGAAACCTACAGTATAAACCAGCACTTTCCCAAGTACTTTACATGTACAGATTCATTTAAAGTTCACTATCCAAGGAAGCAGCATTAGTGTATGCTGCGTGTATGAAAAGGTACCTGCTGAGTGCACATCCACATGCTGTTGGTGCCCGTCTTTCTCAGCCCCTATCCACCTGATTTTCTGAGACAGGGTTTCTCGCTGAACCTAGAGCTCACAGATGTGGCTAGCCTGGCTGGCCAGGGAATCCCCTCCAGACCCCTCATCTACCTGCTCTGCTTTCCACATGGGTGCAAGGGATTTGAGGTCTTATGCTTGTTCAACGAACATGTTTTCTGACAGCCACCTCCCCAGCCTCATTTACAGATTGTTGAACACTCTGCTCCAAGGTCAGAGGTGGTTAAGTTAGACTTTGAATTGTTCAGGTACAATTGTGGTAGGAGTGCTCTGAGCAAACAGGGAAAAAGACTTGAGAGTTCAGATCTAAGAGTCTAAGCAAAAGAAACAGCACTGCACACCCAAATTAACTGGACCAGGCATGTCCCATCACATCTTTCAAACTTTATCTTGTTATGCAATAATTATCCCCCCAAAAATGTTTCAATAAAAAAGGAAACTATTAGTCACTTAAGCAAAAGTCAGAGACTAGAAATTGCTTTTGTTTTAGTGAAATTCAGCAACATCTCTTATAATATATATATATATATATATATATATATATATATATATATATATCTTATACTATACTGTCATGCATCGTGGAATACTATTTTAGGGACTTACTCTATCCCCAATTCTAGAATTTTGTTTTTAATCAAGACCACACATTCTTCCATAAACAACATTGTTGATTTTACTCCACGAATCTCCATCCAATCCACCCAGTGCTGTGAAGACGCTCTCCATGTCCACCATGGAGGACTAGCCAGTTGGTGAAGCTGGGATGCTAAGGGGTAGATCTCTTAGCAGCTCAACCAAAGTGTACACACACACACTGTGCAAGGCAATCAGAAAATATGCACCAGGCTTGCACTTCAGGAACTTAGAATCCAGAAGTTAAACTGTGTGTTAAGGACATGAATAAATAACCAAAAAGGGAAATAATTCTCTTTACCCAAGAAGCCAAGTATTCAAGTTAAATAAAAGAAAATACAAATTTTAGAAATTATCACTTGAACCATCTACAGCTGCTAACATGATTTGTTTTAAAAAAAAATCAACTGATTATTTTGCTTAGCAAATTTTAACTTTTCCACTAAGCTGTCAGCTCATTTTCTTAGGTCCATAGTCTTAACAAATATCTAAAATTACAACTGCTATTTATCCAAGATGCTGGCCATACAACAATCTTATTTGTGTTGTTTTGAGTTTAAAGAGAAAAATGGCAAAGTAACAGATTCAGTACTTTTCATGAGTTTAGTAAAACAAACAAATCTTCCCCCTCATCTAAGAGCCACATATGTGTGTCTTGCACATGCGCTGTTTTACAGCTAAAAAACTTTTAGGGACACCATTAACTCATCTCTCAAGTCTTGGGGTTACTTCCAATCACAGAGGCCAAATTCTACTATTCTAGTTCACTCACGTACAATCCGAAATAAGAAAAATGTCTATTTGCATTAAAAGCCAGAACCCAAACCCAGCAGGGGAGCTGGCTCAGTGGGTAAAGTGCTGTGTTCAAGCACAAGGACCTGAGCTTGGATCCACAGCACCAGCACTAGGGGAAGAGACAGGGAGATCCCAAAGGTTTGCCAGGCAGCAGTCTAGCTCCAGTGAGCTCCAGGTTCACCGAGACCCTAACCCCCTTACACACACACACACACACACACACACACACACACACACACACACTTTTTAAAATCTAGTTCACGGTAAATGCAGAAATTAACTTCACTGGTGCTAACAACATCTGTATTTTTGGATGAAAAAACAAGTGAAAGAAGAAAACACAACCCTAGGCTTGACAACAGTCAGTGCTTTAAAAATGTTAGCTGTCCGTACCTTTTAGAAAGCAGAAATACTTTCTTCTAAGCTTGCTAAAAATAACACCCCGATTGAACCTCATTTTTATTTCAACCACCATCAACCTCTTCCCAGGGCAATGCACACTAAGCTACCTACTAAGCCTTAGCTGTGGGGTGAGGCTGTAACACGAAGAAATGGCCTTGGCGTTTACTCTCCAGGGGGCTACACTCACACAGAAGTGGCAAATTCCATAGAGACCATATGCTTTCAGGTGGAATTACACACAAAGGTCTACCAAGAGAGGACTGAGCCCAGACGTGGCACATCACAGGAGGATTACTGAAAAGTACACTAGCTGCAGAGAGAAGCTGGGCAAAGGCACTGGATATTCTAAAGTGAAATCTACACAGGCAAAACAGAGACACTGTTGGAGCGCAGGGCCACATTCGTTCTCGGGGAATAGAAGCACAGGCTCAGCTGGAATCATCTGGACCATCAGGAGAACCCAGCCAGCATGTGCCAGCATGTCTGGACCAGAACCCGTACTCTTAGGAACTGGCTAGTTGGAGGATACCATGGTCAGGAAAAGGGCACAGGGATCTGCTGTGTCCTCCTTCCTATTTACGGTGGCACAGCACACATTAATTCAGACTCTGCCTCTTGTTTTCTCCGCATGTGTCACTATCTGCACTTCCTAAAAAAGGCAGGCTTTTCTCTAAAGACTTCAAGCCACATGAAAGGATGGGCTGAAAGCAAGGCCCTCATTTGTTCTCTAGAGTACATTCTGCTAGAGGGCTTGAAAGGGATGCTTTTGAAGTTATCTGGAACGAGTATGGTTGCCTCAAATTGGCTGTTCTCATCACCCAGGAAGCCAGACCCTTTGCATTACTCCTCATTAGGTTCCTCGGTACTGCCTGGGACTTAATGACTTGCTCATAAATCCATTCTGTACAAGTAAATTGGTCTTGACACCACAATTTTTCCCATCACTTGGCTCAAGTAATTTTAAGTTTTCATCTTTTAAATTGGATAAGGCAGAAGGAATAGTTCTGATAATTTCTGAAGCTAGAGCTAAGACTCTTGAACCAAAACACAAGAAAAGGACTTCCTTTTGCCAAGGGCACCTTGGTAAACTTCTCACTTCAAACTCAGCCGCACTCTCTCTAGGACTCTAGTACCTCCCCATTCATAGAGGTGTTAAGTCGCAGCATCTATTTCTGGTCAGAAGTCACCAAGTGGTCTAATATGCCAGGATCTGCTCACAGTGAGCAATGGGTTGAAGAAGGCGGGGAGGAGGTATGGTATGTGTGTCAAATTTTATTCACCCAATGATGAGGCATGTTAGATCCAGTCTCTTGCAGATATTTAAGGGGACTTGAAGGAGACAGAAAAATATCCTACTTCTCTGGTAGCCTTGGCTCCTAAAAAGACCGACCAAGTCTGTGGAAGAGGCATTCAAAGCCAGTGTCAAACAAAGCCCCGCCCATCCCCTCCTCACCAATGTCCATCCCACAGGTCCGGCGCCTACAACACCATGCACTTCAACATCTATAATCCCAAGGCCTTTATGAATGACCACGGACACAAAGTAGACAGGAGCACTCAATGCTCAGAAGGCGCATCCAAGTCTGCAAAGATGCCTGGGCAAACGCAGGTTTCTGAAGCTTATGCAGCCAAAAGGCACTTTAGGTTTGTTTTTCCCTGCATTTTACTCATTCATTATTTAGTGGGACAGGAGTAACAGCATCTGCCACAGCATGCACACAGGTGCAGAGGACAACTTTTGGGAGTCTGTTCCACTGAACTTCCTAACTGTAATGTTGCTACTTTTATGAATCATAATGTAAATATCTGATTTGTGACCTCCGTGAAAGGATCTTCCAACAGCCCCAAGGGGTCCCAACCCACAGGCTGGGAACCACTGGTGCAGAGGAGCCTTTACAACATAGGAGCATGTGGTCCAACATGCCAACCACAGAACCTCAGCCAAGCCCTAACCCCCACCTCTCCTTCCCTCTCTTCAGGCCTCATTTCCTGGTTAAAATAACAAGGTATTTCAGGACAATCAAGGCTTAAATGAGAACCAGATGATGAGCACATAAATGTCTCCTTAGCTGTGGGTCCAGCCAAGCCTGGTTCACACCTAGTAAAGCCAAGTCGCAAGTCCAACTCCAAAGGCTTTGCCTTTACAGACACAAAGGACTTTTCCCTTGTCATCTCCACCTAAACAACATGCTACTGCAACCACTCACATTATATTACACATGGGGAGTAATCTAGTGATCATGAACGTAGGTCAGATGTGACACACATATGGAACTTGAGCATCCATGCACTTTCTGGATACAGGAGTATTTTATCCAAACATGAAGAATCTGAAAACAACCATCAAAATCTCGAAGGGGAAGCCGGGCGGTGGTGACGCACGCCTTTAATCCCAGCACTTGGGAGGCAGAGGCAGGCGGATCTCTGTGAGTTCGAAACCAGCCTGGTCTACAAGAGCTAGTTCCAGGACAGGCTCCAAAACCACAGAGAAACCCTGTCTCGAAAAACCAAAAAAAAAAATATAAATAAATAAATAAATAAATAAAAAAATCTCGAAGGGGTCGACATTCTAAGTAATAAATTTCTAGTGCTGGTCACAAAAAAAAAAAAAATGACTTTTCTAATTTCCAGTCCTTCACTAGAAAAGAAAACAAGCCAGGGGAGTTTAAAAAAAATTTTTTTTTTAATTCTACTACTTACTAGGCCACCCCTCAGTGAGAAAAGACCTGATGAGTAGTCAAGGGTACTCACTTGGGAGGCCAGGAACTGAGTTCTAATCTCCTCCGCTACTTAATCAGCTGTGCAGCTGGTAACTATCACCAGGTCACCTCTCATGGCCCCAGGCTCATCTGCAAAATAATGGAGTTATGCTAGATGGTTACTGACATCTCTTCCTGTCCAGCAGTAATACCAACACAGACACACAGACACACACACAGAGAGATTCTGCAAGAAAACCATGAAGGCAGACAGGCACTACAATAAAAAAAAAAATAACAACGCCTGAATCAATCCCAGAGCAGCAGTTGGAAGATCCAGAGTTCAAGGTCAGATTGAGCCACCTGGTGCAACTTTAAACAAGCTCCCCAACGGTAGTGATGCCAAAAGAGAGGCTGTGCCTTGCTAACCTCAGAAACAAAATACGAGCATACCCGGGCTGGGTGAAAGCATCAGTGCCACACGCGAGTAAGGTAAATTCCAAACATTTTTAAAAAGAACCAGCCTGGCGATGTGCAGGAATTATCTAACCTAATAACTTCGCTTCTGAGAGCCTGTCCAAGTTGAGTTAAGGGTCACACGGGAGGCTAAAATGAACAAGTCAACCACCTGAAGGGGTCCCTCAGGGATCCAATGATAAAACAAGGACCAAACAGAAGAAATGAATTTAAAAATTACAACTTGCTACCTTATTAATGCAAACAGAAAACTAAATATTACTGATAATTGATTTAAAATAAATGGTGGTCTTAGCTGAAATAGAAACAGGCACACTCAAGAGAGAAGGAGGTGGCGTTCAGAAAAGATCATTTCCTTAGCTCGTCGTAGTTAGGGTTTTCCAGCGCGCACGGTGGAGGAGAGCACCGGAGTCGCGAGCCATCTACCCCTGGGCGCGAAACCCAGCCAGCCCGGGCGCGCGCAGGAGGGGACCGCGGCGGGCGCGCGCACCAAGGGACAGCGCTGAGCGCGCGAGGCCGCGTGGCCCGGACGGCCATCTCCTGCTGCAGGCCCGGCCTGGGCTCGAGCCGCTCCCCCGCCCGGCCCGGGCCTCCGCGAACCTCGGCCGACCGCTCCAGCGCCCACCCGCTCCCACTCGCCCCTCCCGGGCTGCGGACTCACCTCGCAGCCGGATCCGGAGCCTTCACGAGCCGGGCCTCTACGGACGCGCGCTGCGAAAACCGAAACCGCCCCCGGCAGCGCGCTTTCCCGCCTCACCCAATCAGCGGCCTGCTTAGCTACGGCAGCTCGCGGGATCAAAAAGGCCACACCGGGACGGAATGCTTTCCTCCAAGAACTGGTTTGTTCAATGAGAGATTTGCTGCCCAGGTTTTGAAGTAAAGGTCCGGTGTTTTGATGTCCTCTGTTGCTAGAAAATCGAATACAAAAACAAAACAACCAACAAAAAAATACTAGAAGTGATCTTTTAAGATTTCATTACAATAAAGAATACCTTAAAACCATAGGAAACAAAAACGAATAGGCTATTGTAAGTAAGTACCCGGAAATAGCCTTAATTTGTTTTGTTTCGTTTTATTTTGGTTTTTATAGACAGGATTTCCCTATGTAACAGCCCTGACTGTCGTGGAACTCACTTTGTAGACCAGGCTGGCTCGGAACCCACTGAGATCCACCTGCCTCTGCCTCCCTGATGCTGGAATTAAAGGCTGGCGTCAGCACTGCCCGGCATCCTAAAATAATTTAAAGAAAATAAAAGTTAAAAGCCGCAAGCCCCCAAACCTATTTCTAAATATTAATTAAATGGATGAAGTTTAAGTTACTGCTAGAGATTGTTTCCATAGCAATGTTGCTACAACAAAAATACAAATCATTTAAAGCAACTGAATTATAATGGCGCCAATTCTAAGAAGACATTACAAACTAGTTTAATTGAAAATTGCATGAGGATACCATTTAAGTGCTGTAGGGGAACTTGGTTTGGGATATTGCGTGAATTCTTAGTGTGTGTTTTCTATTTATAGAACGAAAAGATTACAGGAAGACCTGATTCCTTTCTATACCCATGCTTTCATTTATAGTGACATTTTAATTTATATTTTATATTGTATTTTGAATTTATATTTTAATTATGTTTCTGATGTTTATCCATCATCACAGTTATAATACCGTCAAAGAACTGCTACCCGCCCCTGTTAAGGATCTAAGATGCAGAATTGTTTCCTGAGACACAAAATGGCTCCTTCTTTTCTAAGTTCCTCTTAGAGAAGGGCGAAAGCAATAGACCTGTGACTGGTGTCACGGACAGAGAACAACTGGATAAGATTTGATAACAGCCATATCCTTTGGTTCCTCTGTATAATCCCAGTTGATGTCAAAACCATCAGTTACAGACAGTAATAAGACAGCATTTTAGACTCTTGAAATATAAAGTATAAAATTAACAATATAAGTAAAGTCGCATTTAAATGTAGCTGTTTACAAAGAAGAAGCATGCTATACTCTGTCCCTAAAATAAATTGCTTTGTAAACTGAACTTGAAGCTGAGGGTCTCTAGCAGTTGATGGCATGCCTAGTGTGTGTTAACATCTCTGCCACTACAGTGATGGTGCACACACAAGCGTGGGTGCAGGGGGATTAAAAATTCAAGTTCATCCTCAGTTAAAAAATGAATTTGAGACCTTGCCTCAAAAAAGGAAAGTGTACTGCATTCCTCACTGATGATTGTGGTTATTGGATGTGTATTACATATGTAGACAGAGACAGGTATATTCATAGCTGCTTTCGCTTTGCCACAGAGCTGTGACACAGCCCTCAAGCCTGGAGTGAGAAGAGTTTTGGGGGCTCAGTTCATCTGCAGAATAGAATAGCTGCCACTGTCTTCAAGGGCACAGCCCTATAAAGCACCAAGGCGACAAACTTATAAATATGTGGTTATTCCAAGAAACCTCTCAGTAGCTCACTACTGGCTTTGCCAAAACACCAGACGCACTCCACATTCCACGGGTACACTTTCCAGATCCTCATCCTGTATTTACAAAGAAAACCTGTCCAAAACGTATTCCAGATTCCAGTTCAAAAGCCAGTCCTCAAAATTCCACCCCTAACTTTACTAGGGAGATTTTAGTCCAGTGTACTTAGGTCAGATGCCACAGTAATAAGCCGACAGTGTCAGGTAAAGACCATCATTGGCGTTGGGATGCACCCCTGTTATACACTGCATAGTGTAGTAGGAGGCTGCTTGTTCGCTTCTGGCTGCCCAGACCACAAAATAATCACTCAGAAACTATATTATATAAATCACTGCTTGGCTGATTGCTTAATATTTCTGGTTAACACATGTCTTAAATTAGCCCATTTCTATTATTTTATATTTTACCACTAGTCTCATGGCCTACTAGCAAGGTTTCTGTGTGTCTGTCTCCAGTGGTGGCTACATTGCTTCTCCCTGACTCCACCTTCTTTCTCCCAGCATTCAGTTTAGTTTTCCTGCCTAGCTCTACTCTGCCCTATCACAGGCCGAAACAGTGCCTTTATTCATTTACCAATAAAAGCAACACATATACAGAAGTACTTTCCACACCATCTCCCCTTTTCTGTCTAAATAAAAAGGAAGGTTTTAACTTTAACATAGTAAAATTACATATTACAAAACAGGTATCAAGAAAGAATTATTACAGTTACAATATTTATTTATTGTTTTTTTTCTTTTTTATTGATTTTATTGAGCTCTACATTTTTCTCTGCTCCCTTCCCTGCCTCTCCCCTCCCCTTCAACCCTCTCCCATGGTCCCCATGCTCACAATATACTCAGGAGATCTTGTCTTTTTCTACTTCCCATATGGATTAGATCCATCTATCTCTCTCTTAGGATCCTCATTGTTGTGTAGGTTCTCTGGGATTGTGATTTGTAGGCTGGTTTTCTTTGCTTTATGTTTAAAAACCACTTATGCGTGAGTACATATGATAATTGTCTTCCTGGGTCTGGGTTACCTCACTCAATATAATGTTTTCTAGCTCCATCCATTTGCCTGCAAATTTCAAGATGTCGTTATTTTTTTCTGCTCTGTAGTACTCAATTGTGTAAATGTACCACATTTTCCTTATTCATTCTTCGGTAGAGGGGCATTTAGGTTGTTTCCAGGTTCTGGCTATGACAAACAAAGCTGCTGTGAACATAGTTGAGCACATGTCCTTGTGGCACGATTGAGCATCCTTTGGATATATACCCAAAAGTGGTATTTCTGGGTCTTGAGGAAGGTTGTTTCCTAATTTTCTGAGAAATCGCCACACTGACATCCAAAGGGGCTGTACCAGCTTGCATTCTCACCAGCAATGCAGAAGTGTTCCCTTTCCCCACAACCTCTCCAGCATAGGCTATCATCAGTGTTTTTGATCTTGGCCATTCTTACAGGTGTAAGATGGAATCTCAGAGTTGTTTTGATTTGCATTTCTCTGATGGCTAAGGATGTTGAGCATTTCCTTAAGTGTCTTTCAGCCATTTTAGATTCCTCTGTTGAGAGTTCTCTGTTTAGGTCTGTACTCCATCTTTTATTGGATTATTTGTTCTTTTGATAACCAATTTCTTGAGTTCTTTGTATATTTTGGATGTGGGGTTGGTGAAGATCTTTTCCCATTGTGTATGCTGTCATTTTGTCTTGTTAACCATGTCCTTTACAGAAGCTTTTCAGTTTCAGGAGATCTCATTTATTAATTGTTTCTCACAATGTCTGTGCTACTGGGGTTATATTTTGGAAATGGTCTCTTGTGCCAATGCGTTCAAGTGTACGTCCCACTTTCTCTTCTATGAGGTTCAGTGTGGCTGGCTTTATGTTGAGGCCTTTGATCCATTTGGACTTCGAGTTTTCTGCATGGTGAAAGATATGGATCTATTTTCATTCTTCTACATATTGATATCCAGTTATGCCAGCACCATTTCTTAAATATGCTTTCTTTTTTCCATTTGATATTTTGTGCTTGTCAACAGTTACACTATTTATAACTACTTGTCTTTTATCATAACTAAAGAAAACTATAATTATTACTATCTATTCTTCAACTCCATCAAAAATTCCAAAAGGATATAATATTACATAAGTTAGCAGACATTGTAAGCAACTTTTAAAACTCGAGAAATGACAGAGACATCTCGCTGACCAGACAGTCACAAAAAGTTCTGTATCGTTGGAGCATCCATCTTCACCTTACAGGGTCATAATATCTATCAGACTTTTCCATAAAGCAGGAAATCCAAAGAGCTGTTCTGCATTGTAATGGCGAAGTCCATCAATTGCTTTCTTCTGTGTCCTGCAGAAGGTCTGGCAGACTCTTTCATGAAGTAGGAACCTTGAAGCATCATCTCACCTTTAGGAAAGTTCAGCAATTATTTCTCTGTGGGTCCTGCATGTCCAGTTAAGCAGTCCAGGCAAGAGCAGTTTCTTGCCCAAATGGCTAACAAACTCCATAAGGAGACTCTTTGATGCCCATCATCCTCTTGAAGTAGATTGGTGCTGCCAGGAGCAGATGTGTCTCATGTCATGAAAAGTCATAAATCTTTTAAACATTTTAAATGCCATATTCTGTGGTTTTTGAAAGATCTGAAGACTATCTATCTGAAATATATCTCTGTACATCTAGAAAAACTAACTAACATGACTACAAGCTTGACTATTATAGATGACTCTCTATTAACCTATATTTCTTACCAAGGCAAATTATTGATCTCTATATCAACATAGGCTTTGACACATATATAATTTCATGTGTCCACAATTATAATAAAAAGAAATCCCACACTAGCTCAGAATTGAGAAAGAGATGGTTATTTATTTAGGGGTAAACTCACAAATCAGAATTCTCTGCTTGAACGGAGAACAGAGATTGAATCCAACAATCTGAAAGAGCAGCCGGGGAAGAAGGAGGGATGCAGGCTCTGCATCTGCATATATAGTATAAGAGGCCACACCGCAGTAGGTAAGTAACCTCAAGCTATAAGACTTCCTACAGCAATAGTATTGTAGAGGATAGTTCTTCAGCCCTAAACATGCTCTTCCTCCCTCTTAGTCGTGCCAATCACTCATTACTTTTTTTTTCCCATGGAGATTTTGCCCTTTATAGAGTGTTATAGACATGATATACTCTACACAGCCTTTTCAGATTGGCTTAGATTTCTCAGTGCCTTTATAACTCATGTCTTTTAAGTGCTGAGTAATATTCCATATGGATGTACCTCAGTTGGTTTGTTCATTTACTTGATAAAGGTCAGTCAGGTTGTCTCCAAGCTATGGCAATTACTGATAAACGTATTATAAATGTTCCTCTGTGGGTGTTGTGTGGAATTAAGTTTTGGATTTTTAACTTATTTTATTTATCTATTTTTCATTTTTAAAAGATTTATTTACTTTATTTTATCTGTATGAGTGCTTTCCCTGCATATGTCTGTATGAACTACCTGTGTGCCTGGTGCCATTAGATGCCAGATGAGGATAACAGATTGCCTGCCATTGGAGTCACGGATGATTGTAAGCTGCCATGTGGGTGCTAGCAACTAAGTCCAGTCCTCTGCAGGAGCAACAAGTGCTCTTAATTTCTCAAGTACTTCTCCAGCTCCTGAGTTTATTTTACTGTTTACTTCTGTGTCTCTATGTAGGCATGTGTGTGCCTGCATGTGGGTACCTGTGCCAAAAGAGGGTGCTGGATCTCCTCATGCTGGGATTACAGGTGGCTAGAGTTCTGGAGTTTGGTCTTCAGGAAGAGAGGCAAGCTCTGAATCACTAGGCATCTCTCCAGCCCCTGGAATCAAGTTTTAAACCATTTGTGCAAACATCAAGAACTCTTCCAGGGTACACAATGAGATGTAGGATGGTGTGCAGGAAGCGTGTATTTAGTTCTGCAAGGATGGCTGTGCTGTCTCCCTTCCCCGTGGCCTCAGCGGTGATTGGCAAACTCTATGCTCCTCGTGCTTACTCTGACATTATGTCTCCTTTATTGTGATTGTGGGCCGCTCTGAGAAGTCCATTGTAGAACCGCATTGTTGTCCTAGTCACGTGATGTGGAGTGTGTTCTCCTACGCTTGGCTTCCATCTGTACATCTTCTTTGGCCATGTGTCTGATCAGGCCTTTGGTCTAGTTTTGAATCAAGTCATTCTTTTTGTTGTTGACTTATAGGCACTCTTTTTAGATGCGAGCTAATAACCCTTTGCCAATATATTCTTTGCAAATGTTTTCTCTTGGTCTTAGCATTTTCTTCTCAACCTTCTAAAGCCATCATTCCCAAAATAGACGTGTGCTGCTGTAAAAGGCTGAGGTGGATTCTTGCCATGCCACTGTTAGTTGTGTGCTTCTACAATTCTTTGTGCCAATTCTTTTTTTTTTTTAATTTGTGTATAGGTGGTGTGGGACAATGGTCTGTATTCTGTTGATTATATTTTAAATAAACACTGATTGGCCAGTAGCCAGGCAGGAAGTATAGGCGGGACAACCAGACAGGAAGTAGAGGTGGGTCAATGAGAACAGGAGAATTCTGGGAAGAGGAAAGCTTGGTCGGCAGTCATGACCCAGCTACAGAAGAAGTAAGATGTGACTGCCTCGCTGAATAAGGTACTGAGCCACATGGCTAGCATAGACAAGAATAATGGGCTAATATAAGTTATAAGAGTTAATAAGAAGCTGAGCTAATGGGCCAATCAGTTTATAACTTATGAAGACCTCTGTGTGATTTCTTTGGGACTTAAAAATTGTGGGAACCAGGCAGGACAGAAACCGTGACAATATATATGTGCATGTGCACCAGAGGACAACATTGAGTGTCATTTCTTGGGACCTACATTTTGAGACAGGATCTCTCACTATGACCAACTTGCCTAATCAGCTAAGCTGGCTAACCAATGAGCCCTGTGGATCCACCTGTCTCTGCCTCCCTGGAACTGGGAATACAAACATGCCAACCATGCCCAACTTTTACATGAGTTCCGAGGCTAAAACTTAGTCCTATGCTTGTTCAGCAAATACTTGACTGACTGACTGACTGACTGACTGAACCATCTCCTTGTCCACAAACCAATTCTTTAGGTGTCATGTTTTTTGTTTGTTTTTTGTTTGTTTGTTTGTTTGTTTTGTAAGAGAAGGTCTCATGTCTGGCTTATTTCATGAAGCATCCAACAGCCCTCTGAGTATATGAGTGATTGGATGACAAAACAGATATTGGATTGGATTTGCCAACATTTTACGAAGCATATTTTAATATTGAACATCAGTGCGACACTTCCAAGAACAGTGACTGATCTTGTTTGAACACTGCCTCAGCCAGTGTGCTACACTGGTGGGGACCTAGACCTTTCCTGGACCTTCAGCCTGGGTAATAACAGCATTTGAGCCATGCTGTTCTATGTCCACTCATCTACATTTTCAAGGAAATGTGGAAATTATTTGTTAAAGTAAATGATAAGGAAAACATCTTCATTTGATTCTAGAATTAAATATCTTCTGCGATATTCATGCGCTAATTGACTGATCAGCAAATGTCACTGTGATAAAACATGACCAGAAGGGACTTCCAGAAGAAAGACTTTATATGGTTCCTGAGAGAAGAGTTCACAATGGTGAAGAAGGCACGACAGCAGGTGGTCAGAACTGAGAGATCACATCTTCATCCACATGTATGAAGCTGGTGTCGGGGAGGGAGACGAAGACAGACAGAGACACAGACCAGACAGACAGACAGACAAATATCAGAAAGCTGGGGCCAGGATAGAGGACTTCTGAAACCCGCCCCCCATCACCACCACCACATTACCCCTGCAGCCCCAGTGATACACTTTCTCCAGAAAGGCTGTATCTCCTAAAAGCTCTATAATCTCCCCAAACAGCGCTCCTAACTGGGGACCAAATATTTAATTCTTTGAGCCTACAGGAGGTATATTTTCATTCAGACTTTCCACAAAAGCCAATATGTCTTCTGTCTAACCTATAGAGAGTTTCTATTCTACATTATGAATACTTGACTTCAGATATAATATTTGATATGTTTACACAGTGTTTGAACTTCATCAGCCACCACTTTGGTGTGACTTGGATTTCAGTAGATGGGACCTGGGTCTGAGCCCCACGAGCAGGGTACCCTAAACGCTGTGATGTTTCATGCCCCGGGAGCCCAGAGAGCCTCTCTCAGCTGTAAGGTGCGGCGAGATTGCTGTGAAGCTGCCCTTGTATTCTAATCAAGATGAACTTGAAAGGTGAACATTATAAGTGGTAGAAATTATTTATAATTTGGTAATAAAAGTTTATATCTAACACTCCAGATTTCATACGTCTGCTATGTGCTGGCTCTGGGTTATAAAACAATTGTAGTTGCCTTTACGTTTGGCCTTATAAGAAAGGTCATAAATTAGAATGATAGCATTCGTCCTCTTTCTGAGCTCAGAAAATTTCCATATTAACATCTTCACCTCAAACATAAATGGTTACCCAACTACAAAGAAAAGAGTTGCGCTGAGCCTTATGAATTATAGTTTATGTTGGAAATCTGTGTACACACGCCTGCAGCAGTGCATTCCAACTTCAGGAAAGCTGGCTTGACCATAGTGGAGCTAATTCAACTGCATGGGCAACTTAAATAAAGAAAGAACAGCATATAAAACTTGGGGATATTTTAGATGTCAGCAAAAGGTTGCTAGGGTATGCAATTACTTTAACTCTTAAAATGCATTTTTATGTCTTCAAGTATTTTTCCTTTTCCAGAATATCTCTACCTCATTACTTAAAAATAAGCTTGCATTCAGTTTCAAATGTTTTTATATAATGTGGTTTTAACTGAAAATGTGACAGTCTGGGTTTTCTCCCCCCTACAGAAAAAATACACAGCACATTCTATTATGACATATAATGACTAAGTTCTTCCCAAGATATTGATGAATTGGACCAATGCTTTATGTTTAGACTTTCAAAAAATGTTTATAGCAAAACCCAGATGTCCTTAATTTTCCAGTGTGGAATATTAAATCCATATGCTTTGCCGGTGTAGATCACTTTCACCATCCTGTCAGTGTGCTTAGAATACAGTGAACTGTAAACAAGCAGGATCTAGTTCTAGAACAATCACACGGGCCCAGACTTTCATCTGCAGAGAACAGAGTTTGTTAGTTCTTGATTACTTTCAGCATTAGAACTCTTTCCCATGGAGGAATCAATAGAGCTAGAAATTACTAATGAGTTAGCATGGCTTGGTCCATGAGGGCTGCTGTAGCAATATACCCTAGACTGGGCAACTCACAAACAACAGAAATGCATTCCTCACTGTTTTCAAGACTAGGAAGCCCACGGCAAAGGTACCAACAGTCTTGTTCTCTGCGTCTTTGACGGCACCTTCTGAATTCATTTTCATAAGGAGAAAGTGGCAAGGGAACTGACTAGCCACTTATATAAAGACACAGATCCACTTGTGAGGGCTGTGACTTCATATGGATCCAGTCTGAGGGCTGTGACTTCACACAGATCCAGTCTGAGGGACCTATGACTTCACACAGATTCAGTCTGAGGGCTGTGACTTCATATGGATCCAGTCTGAGGGCTGTGACTTCACACAGATCCAGTCTGAGGGACCTATGACTTCACACAGATTTAGTGTGAGGGCTGTGACTTCACACAGATCCAGTCTGAGGACCTATGACTTCACACAGATCCAGTCTGAGGGCTGTGACTTCACACAGATCCAGTCTGAAGACCTATGACTTCACACAGATCCAGTCTGAGGGCTGTGACTTCACACAGATCCAGTCTGAGGGCTGTGACTTCACACAGATCCAGTCTGAAGACCTATGACTTCACACAGATCCAGTCTGAAGACCTATGACTTCACACAGATCCAGTCTGAGGGCTGTGACTTCACACAGATCCAGTCTGAGGGCTGTGACTCCACACAGATCCAGTCTGAGGGCTGTGACTTCACACAGATCCAGTCTGAGGGCTGTGACTCCACACAGATCCAGTCTGAGGTCCCTGTGACTTCACACAGATCCAGTCTGAGGGCTGTGACTTCATACAGATCCAGTTGTAAGGGCTATGACTTCATCACTTCTTTTCTCTTGTTTTAAAATGTGTTATTATTGCTGCTATTGTTGCTGTTATTGTCGTGGTCATGATTATGTTAGCTCTATGTGTGATGGCACAGCAGATGTGAATCGGAGGACACTTTGTGGAGTACTTCTCACCTTCCACCTTTCCTTGGGTTCTAGGCTGTCAAGCTTGCGTAGCGGTGCTTTTCCTGACTGAGCCACCTCACACAACCAGTTCTTACTGCACAGCTGTGCTGGTTAATCTGTCAACTTCACACAACCTACAGTCATCTGAGAAGAGGCAACCTTCATTCAGAAAATGCTAGCATCAGACTGACCTGTAAGGAGGGCCCAGCCACCGTAGGTGGTGCCCCCACCCCCGGCAGACAGTCCTGGGCTGTGGAATAATTGGAATTGCAGTAAGCCAGTAAGCAGCGTCCTCCATGGTATCTGTTTTAGTTTCTGCCTCCAGCTCCTGTCCTGAGTTCCTGCCCTCAGTGATGGATGTCCAGAAGTGTAAGTCAAATAAACCCTGTTCTTCCTAAGTTGCTTTTGGTCACGATCTTTATTACAGCAATAGAAATCCAGCTAGAATAATAGCCCAGCCTGGCCTCAATCGTACCTCTTCAATGCTGGAGTTACAAATGAGGCCACCACACCTAGCTGTCCATTCTAATATTATCATGCTGTGTGTTAGGTTCCAACATAGATTATTACCATCCTTCAGACTCTAACAAAGCAGAACCCAAAAACAAAAACAAAACAACACAACAACAATGCATATCTGTTGTTCCCTTAAGAGCTCAAGGAAAAAAAATGGTGCATTTGTTTCTCTTTTGACAAAAGGTGCTTCAGCATCTGGACATGATTCTAGCAACTTCCCAAACACAGAGAAGATGAAGGGAGTCTCACGAGAACAACATTGTCCACGCAGAACTGGAAGCAGACACAGCTGTGCACACCTATAGTCTCAGGTACCTGGGAGGCTGGGCCAAGAGATAGCTTAAGCCCCAGAGTTCAAGATCAGCTTGAGAAACACAGTGAAAACCTCATCTAAAGAAATGCTGAAGCAGTAACATTAAAAAGAGGATTGGGGACCGAACAACTTCCTTCTTGAATTATAACTAGAAGTAAAATAACGAGATGTATGCCTTGAAAGTCTTCTGTATGTAACCAGATGAGAAGACTCTTGGCTGCCTTCGGTTGGAAGGGACAAGACCCGCTGACTCCTGCTAAAGACCCAGACAGCTTGTAGATGACACAGAGCGTGGCGAGGACAGACAGCTTCCGGTTTAGTCAGTGATCAGGATAGATGCTGCCGAGTGAATTTCATATCAGTGTTTGTGTCAGGTACCAAGCCACTGGTCCTGCCCAGGTACCAGTCCGGGCACTGGCTAGGTTAGGCTCCATCGTTTTTGGATTGCAACCGTTCCTTTGGAAAACATTTGCCTATTTTCTTTCTGCTTGGCAAATAAAAGGTGCTTCTAGATATAAACTGGTGAATAAATGACTAAATGAACAAGCCCTCAACTGGTCCCAGGGTGAGATTCTCTGAGTATCACTGACGTAGTGATATCAAGTGAAATATGAAGGAAAATGATGTCCGTTAGTGGGTCCTAGAGGAATTAGACTGTAAGCGCTCCTTGAACTTTACCCTCTCAACCCCAATCATACACAATTAATTAATAGATACTTCTCCGCCAGTGATTAAGTACCTAAAACTGATGACTACAGCCCAAGTCTAACGTCTCCATCTATTTCTATTCAGGAGCAGGAAATACGCTAGACCCTTCAAGGACAGAATCACTCTCCAAAGGACACCCCACTTCAGTAAAGTAACCGACAGAGGGCGAGGGAGATAGCCCACAGGTAAACTGAAACCGGGAGGACCTGCTTTTGGGTCCCCAGTGAATATGTGAGAAAAAGGGCAGGGGTGGCTGTCAGTGCTGGCGAGGCAGAGACAGGATGAACCGGAGCTCTCTGTCTGGCCAGTCTAGCCAACTGGTGAACTCCAGCTTCAGTGAGAGCTGTCTCGAAATGTGTAAGTGGAGAAGAGATTGAGAAAGATCCTTGGCATCTATTTCTGATCGCCTGCTGCATATATACATGCACATGCACACGCACACACACACACACACAGCATGTATGCATATCTTGAAATTCATGCACATGACACACACATACATGTACAGAAAAGTTAACTGTACATTAGGCATTAAGGAGGACTAGAGTGTTAGGTGTACCACCCACCCCAAAATAACTCAAACTACTCTAGTGCAGCCTGTTGTGAGAACAACTCAACTGTGTATTTATAAACATCCAAAATTCAAGAAAAATAGATTCTGAAAGAACTCTAAAGAAAATTGCTGCTCCCTCAAAAAAAAAAAAAGAAAGAAAGAAAGTGGATTTTATTTTCTTAGGCTGTGTCTAGGTATTTAAATAACACTTTATTAGGCTTCACTAGTTGGCGCGGAGCTCAGGAAAGCTCTGTTTTCTCTTTGATGTCCTTACAGTCCTCACCCACTGGTGATGTTTCATTGACCCAGTGTACCCTGCTTTGGTATTGCCTGATGAAGCACAAAGGCCTGAACTCCACTCGAAGCTCACAAGAGCCATGAGAAGGAGTGGGTACTTTTCCTAGGCATAGGTGCTGAACAAAACGGGGGCTGAGATGATTTACATCCCTTGACGACTGTTTTCCAGCTTTTTTGTGAACAGACACATAAATAAATGCAACTTTAAAGTAAAATATAAAAGAGTAAACCCCAACAATCTCTTTCAGACAGCAATTGGGACTCTGCAGGTACAAGAGCCCTGCCTTGGAAATTCTGTTCCTGCAGGCATTGGCTCTGCCACTTCCACTAAAAGTAGCTTTAATTAAATCTGTATTGTTCTACTTATAAATAAGGCTTGGGATTCAAAGGCTGGGGTGGAAACCTGCTAGCTCAGAGGTTGAGTAACACTTAGGTAACCTCCTCTTCTTGCTGCTGTCTTCTGTAGGAGGAGGCCACTTGTTCGTCCTGGCTGCCCAGAACCAAAATAACCACACAGAAACTGTATTAATTAAATCACTGCTTGGCCCATTAGCTCTAGCTTCTTATTGGCTAACTTTTACATTAATTTAACCCATTTCTATTAATCTGTGTATCATCATGAGGTTGTGGCCTACCAGCAAAGTTTTAGCATGTCTATCTCCGGCAGCTCCATGGCATCTCTCCTCCTTCCTTCTCCCAGCATTCAGTCTAGTTTCCTCCACCTACCTAAGTTCTGCTCTATCATCAGGCCAAGGCAGTTTCTTTATTCATTAACCAATAAAAGCAACACATAGACAGAAGGAACTCCCACACCAGTCTTCCACTCTGCCAAACAAAAAGAGCCATGCCACTCTAAATCCCTCCTGGCTACTTCCAGTGCATGTCTCTCTTTCTCCCAGATGTCCTCTGATGCTCTATGATCACTTTCTGTTAACTGGTTGCTAACTCAGCCTCCTGACTTAAGGTTAATTTTAATTAATGCAAGCACAAACTTGGGGTTCACAGTGTGATTGAATATCCCCAACGGGGATTACCCAAAACAATTGAAGTCAAACTGTTTATGAAATGTTTTCTTTTATACTTACTACTTTAAAATAGTGAGGACATGCAGTCAACCTAAGTATACATCATTACAAGAATGAACCACAAGACATGTTTACTGTAATGCTATTCAACTTCAAAGAAGGAAGCACACAACAACATAGATAAGATATCATAAGATACCTTGTGAAGTTAGGTAGTCACCAAGAACACGGTCCTTTCTTTTTCTTTTCCATAGTCCCACTTACAGCATCTAAAGGAGAAACAACCTGCAAACCCAAACAATGGTTGCCAGGAGTTGGGGAAAGAGCTGATGGGTGGTGGTTGTTCAGGAGGTAGAAAGTTTCTCTTGATCGAGATGGATACTAGAGGTCTGCCGAGAACACTGTGTGTGAACCTGTTGATGGGTTACATCGTAGGTTGTTTGTGTGCACAGGTATGTAATAGCTATCGTAAGAACAATGAAGTTATAAGAATGACAATAATAATGAATGCTGACTGCTTTCTGAGAGGGAAGGAAGGTCATGGACTCTATTTTACTCAGTTTTAATGTTCTACATATTTATTACCCAAAATATTTGGGCCACTCATTACCACCCTGAAAAGGTCTCTCTCTCTCTCTCTCTCTCTCTCTCTCTCTCTCTCTCTCTCTCTCTCTCTCTCTCACACACACACACACACACACACACACACGTGCACACAACACACTCACAGGCACACATACACACACATTTAGGATGCTGGCAGCTGTGGTCAAGGCAAGAGCACCAAGGACTTTTGGAATAAATATGCCTGGGATTATTACTAAGAATGCAAATCCAATCAAATAACAGAGATGATTTATTGTTTTTATTAATACTGTTAAAAATTTATTTATTTACTCATGTTGAGGTTTGAACCCAGGGCTTTTCCTATGCTGTTCAGGTACCCCACCACTGAGTTACACTCCCATAATCCACCACTGAGTTACACTTTCATAATCCACCACTGAGTTCCACTTCCATAATCTACCACTGAGTTACACTCCCATAATCCACCACTGAGTTACACTCCCATAATCCACCACTGAGTTACACTCCCATAACACACCACTGAGTTCCACTTCCATAATCCACCACTGAGTTCCACTCCCATAATCCACCACTGAGTTACACTCCCATAACACACCACAGAGTTCCACCCCCACAATCCACCACTGAGTTTCACGCCCAGCTCCCGTGTTAGCTCTTTTTTTTTTTTTTTGGTTTTTCGAGACAGGGTTTCTCTGTGGTTTTTTGGAGCCTGTCCTGGAACTAGCTCTGTAGACCAGGCTGGTCTCGAACTCACAGAGATCCGCCTGCCTCTGCCTCCCGAGTGCTGGGATTAAAGGCGTGCGCCACCATCGCCCGGCTCCGTGTTAGCTCTTGATTCCCCTCACTGCAGATGTGAGCATGCTTCATCCACAGACATGGACTTGAAGGGCTGCCTTTCCAGAGATTTGTGTATTAGCTCACATCCTGTTCTTCCCAACAAACCTGCATCTCCCTGCTCTTCCAGCACATCTGGATTCCAGTCAATAGGTGTGCCCAGCCCGGAAAAAGTGGCAGTTTATTAATTATGTGTTTGAACCGAAGATGGATCAAGAACTGAGAGTTAGTGAGAAAGGTTCATCACCCTAAAGCAACAGGCAAGTTTTAATGAGATGTAGTCATCCCTTTTTAAAAGTTTCGTTTGGCCCAGGTGGTGGGGTGCACACCTTTAATCCCAGCACTTGGAGGCAGAGGCAGTAAGTTCAAGGCCAGCCTGGTCTACAGACCGAGTTCCAGGAAATAAAGTTCCAATTGCGTATATCATAAAAGTATGGCAGATCTTCTGTAAATAAGCAGGAGGAAATAATAATTTTTTTAAAAAAATCTCAAAATTTGCATCATTTCACCACTCCCAGAAAACAGTGTTCCAGGGTGGAGGCACTCCCTTTATGTGTCTCTTAATTCTTACACTGCATCTTACACACTGTTCTATATATTAATTTTCTTAATTATAATTTATAAAAATCTTTACATGTTGTGACTATGAGATCATTTTCATAGCAGCATAATACTCCACAGAAACTTAACTTCTTTATTATTATAGAATCATGTATTTTTATTTACACCAGTCATAACAACATGTACTTAAATGTATAGGCATGTGAACATTCTGCCTAGATATCTGCACACATATATACATACACAGATATACAGATATAGAAAATTCTCATCTGAGTATTTGCTTAGACAAAGCCCTGATGTAGAATCACCGTTTTCAGGGATTATATTTGTGGTGGTGTGGCTGGAACCCGGGGCTTTAGTATGCTTGCCCAACCCTCTACCTCTGAGTTCCATTCCTAGAGATCTGCACACTCTCAAATGTCAGTTATGCTTTAGGTGGCACTGTGGGAAACGGCTTCATGACAAGAGAGGAAGTATGGAGACAGCTCCTTTAAAGCATAGCCTCCTTGGTAAAGATTGCTTTTCCACCGAATATTGTGGAGTAGAAACTCCTACAATACAAGGACAGGGCTGATTCACGGTTACCCCCAAACACCTTGCCACAGGCCTAACCCCAAGTATTCTGAATATCTGGAAATCTGTATATTTGGATTTTTAAAGAATATTTATTTACTTCTTTAGCATGCCCAGGTGTGTGTGTGTGTGTGTGTGTGTGTGTGTGTGTGTGTGTGTGAGCACCCGTGGCATGACATGTTCACGGAAGCCAGGGGCAACTGTGGCCATCAGTTCTTTCCTTCCACCTTTATGTTTGTTCCAAGGACTGAACTCAGGTCATCAGACTTGGCCGCAAGCACCTTTACCTGCTGAGCCATCTTTCCTGTCCTCCCTCTTTGTTTTAGGGGACACTGAATTGAACTGTACATGTTTCAGACTCTACAGAACCTGGAATTCTTTGTACAGCATTCAGGAAGCACTTGCTATTTGACAGGTCTTTCTCTGAGCACATTTTACAGGTCTAAAGCAATTTAACCCCCATATAAACCCTGTGAAGTTATGACCATGATCATCACCAAGCTGTAAATGAACTGACTGAGATCAGACAAGTAACCTGCCAAAAGTCACGTGGCTAATGCATTGCAGATCCAGAATTTGTACCCAGGATTTTCTGATCACTAGTGCAGAGCTGTGACTGTAAACTTGTGTTCTTTAGCAGTTGTGGGTCAGATACTTCTTTGCTCCTGTCAACTGTTGCATTTACAGTTGCCGTGTGAAATAGCAGTATTTTATCACCTTTGAGTATCTCTGCAATTTTAAATAGGCCTGGATTTTTCTGGCCCAGGGTCTCTCAAAAGGCTGCAGTCAGATGGTGGCTAAGTTTGAATCAACCATAAATGTGTGTAGTTAGGGTGTGGGTGAACCTCCGTGTGTGTGTCTGTATGTATCTGTGTCTGTCTGTCTGTTTGTGTGTGTGTGTGTGTGTGTGTGTGTGTGTGTGTATGTGTCTCTGTGTGTGTCTGCTCACAAAGTCACCCTGCACAGTCTCCCTACATAGGCTATCTATGCTTCTGCATAGCACAGCTGCCTCAGCAAGCAACTAACATGGGAGTTGTGGACTTTCTGGCATGGATGCTCCCACAAACAAGTTGGTATTCTTCTATGACCCACCCACAGAAGTCACATGTGGCCTTTCTGCCATCTTCTATTGGTCAAGATGGTCACAAATCATCTCCAGTTTCATGGGTGTCTTTGAGGCCACCTCTCAATTGGAAGAGGAGCAAATTGCAATATACCTTGTTGCTGCCTGCTTTGAGAAATACTGCCTACTGCATAACTAATTTCTGTAGCCCATGGAAAGCTTTAAAACTCATTTTTTTTAATGCCACGGAGCTGATCACATGTTCACTGATTCATTTCAGTTTGTCAACAGCCTGCTCTTCTGATTGATAGGATGTACGCAAGGAATGACACATTGGCAGCGTGTACTCACAGGACGGTGCTGTAGCTTACGGCTCTGGGACAAAATGAACCCAGCAGCCTGTATGTAAATGGAGCCCAGGCCCCTGGCCTCTACGTTCAAGATTCTTAAGTTATCTGTAGAGTTTCGAAACATCCTCTGTTTCTAAAACAAAACAAAAACAAAAACAAAAAACTCCTTATTAAACAGCAGGTTTTAGTGCACTGAGAACCTAGAGGCTGTGCTGCTGACTGTGGCCACTGCTGTGTAGTCGAGTGTCTGCCTTTGGCAGCTGGCCAGGAGTGCCAGACTTGAGCACATCGTGATGTAGGACACCCGCTGCAGGGGTCTTCCCTTTTAGCTCAGATTTTCTTTATACAGAAGGCTATTCACAAAGATGTTTGGAGGTGAGCATCCTACTCACCTTTGCTTTAGGCAGAAAAGGTAGTGGTCCCCAAAAGAGAAATGTTTGGAGTGATTGCATTGCTCCTTTGAGGCCTTGGGTATGCTGTATATCTTTCAGTTGGTTGGTTTCTTTTGTACATCTTGTCATTTGTTTGTAACTGGTGGAGTCCCAGAACTCTGCATGCAGAATATGTTCTAAGCTCCAGCTGTTGTCACCACTACCTTTAGCAGCTGACTGGTCCCAAGTGGGTTGAGGGCTCAGTAACCACTCCTGTGCTTTACCCCTACTTCCAGGGTCTCAGAGCACCTCTGTGCTGGTCTCTTCAATGTGCAGTCATCACTATGACTTCAAAATGGAGGGGTGACCAATGAAAGCATTTCCTGCCGCTTTCCTGGGGTACCCAGCACAGCTAGCCTCACAAGCTTTCTAGCCCCAAGCCGAACTCTGAAACTCCAGAGACTAGGGCTGCCTGGCCGGAGCAGGTCCTATCAGGCAAGGCTGTCGAAGGGACAGACAGTCCCTCACACACAGCAACAGGGGCATGCCTGAGCTCCAGTTATCTCGGGAGAGAGTTTGCCATTTTTGTTCTTGGTAATTAGATGGCTGGTTGTAGATCCAAGCCATTTTGGGCCCCTGTGAGTGTGAATCTTCAGGTTTGAATTAATCCATCAATCCATTTGTGGCTTTCTACCCACGAGCCAAATGGCCTGTCCTAACTAAAGGGCAGACAAACACCATCCATACAGCTACTTCACAGTTTACCTTGGAAACGTTCTAATGGCCAGTTTACATAGCTCTGTGTCCAAGCAAGACAGGAAGCACTGGGTTGTTCCTATTCTTTGTCACAGTGATGCCTCCAGAGATATTTAGATGCCAGCCCTTTCTGACTGTAAAAGAAATTAATCCTGGCCTATGAAAAGTTCTCCGTTGTCAGGTCTAACGGGCAGGATTATCTGAACCTTCTGAGTCCTTAGAAAGTCAGATGCCGAGCACATCTGGGCTGCTTTGCTCTCCCTTCGAGACTCGTCTTCAATAACCCCCTTTGATCCTGGGGGCCTCTTTCAGTGACAAAAATAAGAGCATATGAAACCTGATGTATCCTTGCAAGCTCCCAGGTCAGAGCAAACTTCTAACAAGTTCCTAATGGCCCCACTGAGGAGTTCTGGCTTTCTTCACAGGTGGGCACAAGGCTATTGGAGGGTTCACTTGGGTCTTCAGTTCCGAGACGTCACAGTTCCACGGACCTCTGGGCCTGTGTCTGTTTGCAAACGGTTCTCAAGCTCATAAATCCATCCATTTACAATTTTTTTCCCAGTATTTTTTTGTGGTTAGATAAGAATTTAACCCCACATTTCCTGGGTCACACTTCTTTTACCTCACTGACCATTTGTGTGAAACAGGCAGGCCAAACACACTCTAGCCAGGAAGAACGCACTGCTAGGCTTAAAAGGAGTGACCAGAAAGGTATCTCCACACAAAGGCAGCTTCGTCTGTGGGCTGAGGTGAATTGTGGCGTGAGGACTCCGCGGCTTTTCAGACCGGACGGCTCCAGAAGAAGGCTAACACTGCTGGCTGGGCCGCCTGCCTTACTGCGAGGGCGCGGGTGAAGTGCATGTCTTCATAAATCGGCCTCTGTTTCTGCTTCCCATCTGAGCTACGCCAGCCTGCTCTGTGAAAGCCTGGATTGAAAAAACTTTTTATTTTTTATTTTTAAAGAGAGCTATCTTTTCAAATTGTGCTTATATAACATTCAGCTAAGGCAATGTATATTTATTTCTTCAAGTAGTGCTATTGCTTGAAGTCTACCTCTTTGCCTTTGACAGTAAGACAGACCGCTTATCTTCATATTTTCATAATGAAAACTCCCCAAGCTCGGGCTGCTATGGCAGATTTACGGCTTTTGAGCAGGAGAACTGACAGGCATTCTAATACGGAAGGAGATATGATGTCCTTAATGTACAGTGATGTCACTGCTAACGAGGGAGAAGCAGCCAGAGCACTTGCAGTCAGCACCGTGGCTGTCCTGGCTGGGGTAAAAGAGACCTTGTCACCCCAGAAAGGACACAGGTAATGAAGAAAAGGAAACCAAGCCTCAGGTACAAAGGCACCAGCTCACTGTGGACGTGCATTAGCTTCAGGAAGTTGACGCTAAAACTGTCTGGACAGAGCTGACCTTGAGAAGGGACAGGGTGGGGCGTGGTACTCTGAGTGTAATTAAAACCCTCCAGGGAACAGGCAAAGGAAAGCTAGGCCGCCTTCTGACCTTCGTCTCTGTCCCCTTTATCCTGCCCCAGAGTGGTCTCAGAACTTAAAGACGTGGACAGCTACACTGTCATTAGCAGGATGCCCCTATTGTTAGGAAATGCCACACACTCGTGTCTTTTATTTGCAAATGAGGCCTTAAAGGTTTAACTTTGCAAGGAGAAAAAGAAATTCTTAGAGGTTGCTTTTCCAATGTCCTTGTACAGACTTGTGACTGAGGAAGAAACACCATAATGAGAACAATCTGAAAAGTCTGCACTCCGCAGGCCTCCTGCATGGCTGTGGCTGGAAAGGGTCTTTCAAAGGTTTCAGGAGCATCTTCCACTCTGAGAGAATGGGGCTGTGTGTTGGTAGCAAGGAAAATGGAACACTCAAGATCCGTGTCGGTTTTCGCCATTCCCATCAACTTCCCCGGAAGTATGAGGGTTAATTTAAGACCTGAGAGGGCTTTTGCCAGCTCTGAGGATAGCCAAGCACTTAAAATTTGCCAGCTCCATTAAATGTACTTCTCCTTAATTAAACGCAGATACATTCAGAGATCTACATGCTCAAAATTAAGTATCAAAGATTTATTGTATAAAGGAGCCAAACAGCAAAGGCAGAGGTCAGAACTGACCAATATGACAAAGGACTATATTTTTTATTATGTTATTATCTAATGAATTTTAATGCACTGAGACAGTGGTTGTGAGCTGGACAGGCTTTTCTGGGCTGCGATTTAATCTGCCACTCGCAAGTTACAGGGTACAGGAAAGTTAGCTATTTCTTTAGGGCTCAGCTTCATTGCTTGTAAAAAGGGAAGGTCATTTCACTTCTTTCATGGTAATGAATGAATGAAACCAACAAATAGCAAGCCATTCACTGATGTGGGATTCCCCTCTGTATGCTGTGAATATCATTGGTTTATAAAGAAACTGTCTTGGCCTGTGATAGGGCAAAAGCATGGAGGTAGGTGGGGAAAACTGAACAGAATGCTGGGAGAAAGGAGGCAGAGTCAGAAAAAAGCCATGAAGCTGCTGGAGACAGATACACTGAAACTTTGCTGGTAGGCCACGGCCTCGTGGTGATGCACAGGTTAATGGAGATGGGCTAAATTAAGATGTAAGAGCTAGCCGATAAGAAGCTAGAGCTATTGAGCCAAACAGTAATTTAAATAATACAGTTTCTGTGTGGTTATTTCAGGTCTGAGCAGCTGGCAGCAAACAAGCACCCTCCTCGCAACAATTCACTATTTTGTTCAAAGCATAATTAAGTGAAAAATTAATGTTAGCGTTTTTTTTTCCCCCGACATCTTAAGGAGGCTGCAGTGGTCGTCGCCACTCTCCGAGCTTCATCATGCCGCCCAAGGATGACAAGAATAAGAAAGATGCCAGAAAGTCAGCCAAAAAAGACAAAGGCCCAGTAAATAAGTCTGGTGGCAAGGCCAAAAAGAAGTGGTCCAAAGGCAAAGTTCGGGACAAGCTCAACAATCTAGTCCTGTTTGACAAGGCTACATACGACAAACTCTGTAAGGAAGTGCCCAACTATAAACTTATTCTGTAAGGAAGTTCCCAACTATAAACTTATTACTCCAGCCGTGGTCTCTGAGAGACTGAAGATTCACGGTTCCTTGGCCAGGGCAGCTCTTCAGGAGCTCCTTAGTAAAGGGCTTATCAAGCTGGTTTCAAAGCACAGAGCCCAAGTAATTTACACCAGAAACACAAAGGGTGGAGATGCCCCAGCTGCTGGTGAAGATGCATGAACAGGTTCAATCAGCTGTACATTTGGAAAAATAAAACTTTATTAAATAAAAAAATTAATGTTAGCAATGTAATATGTAAATTGTTATTATTAAAAATTGATATTTATTTTAGTCACATTTATTACATGTAAAATTGCACTATTTGCAGTTAGTGTACAGATAATAGCAAAAATTATTTTCACTCACCATACTAGAAGAAACAGGTAATTTAGGCTTATGACTCTGGCATGGTGGTGGAGTCCAGCATGGTGGGAAAACATGGCAGCAGGCTGCAGGCATGGCAGTCAGAGCAGGAAGCTGAGCATTCACACCTTCAAACGCAAGCACGAAGTAAGAGATTTAACTGTGATGTACTTCCTGTAGTAAGCCCGCACCCCCTAACCCTGACCCAAACAACTGAGGACCAAGGTTCCAATACCAGAGCTCATGGTGCAGACATTTACCATTCAAAGCACCACACATTCCACTGGTGAACATGGATCCATACCATGTAAACTCACTTGAACACACACACGTACACACACATGCACAATGATCAAACAAACCAAAGCTATATCCTGAGGGTCATGTGCTTTCTTGTCTGATGCATTTGACTTGTGTGGGTATGAAAGTGTGGATATTCAGTCTTGATGCTGTCCACTACCTCTCTTGTCTACCTTTCCCTCCCCTCGAGACTCCAACTCAGTGGTTCCCAGTCTTGATATACATAAGAACACCAGAGGTACTCACTATAAATTCACAAGTTCTGGTGTGGTGCCAGGGTCCAGGCATCTGTAGACTCAACAGATAACCCTGATGGAGGTGGCGTGCAGACTTAATCACATCCTGGATCCCTAACGTTACCTGCTCTTGCCTCGTGGATGAGAGGGTGACCCGTGGGGAAGCCTCTGCTCTTCTCTGTTTTATGTGAAGACTTGGATTACCTTCCCTTTAGGAGGTATATTCAGGTTCACGATGATCCAAATTAAGGCTGAGTCAGAAGAGGTAGGTTCTTTTCTTTTTTCTTAGAGCTTTGTTTTGTTTTTAAATTTTATTTATTTATTTCATATACCTGGGTGTTTTGTCTGCATGTATGTCTGTAACATGCCTGGCCAGAAGAGGGTGTTGGATTCCCTGGAGCAAGGCTGTGAGCTGCCCTGCAGGTGCTGGGAGTCAAACCCTGGTCCTCTGGAGAACAGACAGTGATCTTTGTCGCTGAGCCACCTCTCCAGACCTAGTGGGTTTTGTTTTGTTTTCTATACATAGTGTGTGATGGGTGAGTGCCATGGCGTGCATTGGAGGTCAGAGTTGTTCTCCTCGTCCATCGTTTGGATCCTGGGCATCAAACTCAGGTTTGCTGGCGTGGCAGAAAGCTCTCTCCTGCTGGTCCATCTCACTGGCCCAAAGAGGATTCCTTTAGTCATCTCTTGCCAAGGTTCTCAGAAGGAAAGAAAAGATGAAGGGTAACTTCAGTGAGACCATTCGCGCAAAAACTTAGAATGTTGGCACAGTCTTTATGATTGTCTATATGGAAGAGCCTTTGCCTCGTCTTTGGGTTGTGGGTGGACACTAGGTAGTAGGAGAGATGCTTCAGGGTCTGTGGATGAAAGCCAACAGCAGTCTTTGGACACAGGTGCTCCCTTGTCCTGTAGCTGTGACATAACATCTGGCAAAGGCAACTTCAGGAAGAAAGGATGCATTTCAGCTCCCAGTTCAAAGGTGAAGTCCCCCAGGGCATGAAGGGCAAGGAGCAGGCTCAAGGCTGTCCTGTGTGTCTGCAGTCAGGAAGCAGAACGATGGCGGAATTTCTTCTGTTCACTCCTTCGGGGGCCACAGCCCATGGAAGCTGTCCACCTGGCTGAGGGGGCTTCCCACCTCAGTGAGTCTGACCCGGATGACCTTCACAGGTGTGCCCAGAGGCTTGTTTCTCAGGTGTTCCTGGATCCCATCCAGTTGTCAAAATCAACCATTAAAAAACCATACTGGTAGGGAGGTCATAAGGTGCTTCTGTGGCCCCCAACTTGGGCTGTGGCCCACTTAGGTAGATGCTGGAAGACTTTGTGATCCACATGTCAAACCAGTTCTTGCCTTTCAGTTTGTCTGTTCTTGTCATTTATATATGGTCACATATGTGCAGAAGAAATGGACATGACTGCAGGACACGGTAGGCAGTCTTATTAGTAAAACACTGGATCGAAACTTTCACTAAAATCTTTAGTTTATAAATATAAATTTAAAAGATTTACCTCCCTGTTTCTGCTAATGTGTAAGAGTTGTAGAAGACATTAATCCCCCTGTCTTAGTTAGGGTGTCTGTTGCTGTGAAGAGATGTCATGACCACAGCAACTCTTATAAAGGAAAGCATTTACCCGGGGCTTGCTTACAGCTTCAGAGGTTCAGTCTGTTATTGTCACTGCAGGAAGCTCTGTGGCAGGTGAGTGGACTTGTGCTGGAGAAGGAACAGAGGGTTCCACATCCTGATCTGAAGGCAGCAGAGAGAGAGAGAGACACTGGGCCTGGCTTGAGTGTTTGAAACCCCAAAGCCCAACCCCAGTGACACACTTCATCCAACATGGCTACACTTCCAAATCCCTTTCAAGTAGTGACACTCCCTAATGACCAAGCACTCAAATCTATGAGCCTGTGGAAGCCAGCCCTGTTCAAATCACCCATGTCATACAATAAGAAGGAAGCTACACGTCTTGAAAAGTAGACACTCTTTTTAAACCTGACAGAAGACTGAAATCATAGGATGAAGTGCTGACATCAGAGCTGGGGTGGGGAAGAGGAAGTCAGAAATCAAAAAAGTCTGTCAGGTCTTCATGTGGGCTTGTGTGATTCATACGCGGTTCATGAAAGATTTGGCAATGACAAACATTTCTGAACAAATAACAAACAAAGCTTAATTTGAAATCAAACATGTAATTAATCTGAAGTATTTCTGTTTCACCAGATAATACCACCTCAGTCTTGTTTCTGAACACAAATATGGGCACTTTGCACAGCACATGTCTTCATGTCATGACAAGCCAGCGACTACAGACTGTGATGCCCAGGCGGTGGGAACAGGTTTTACTGTTCACACACAGTTTTATGCTCCTGTAGAAACAGTGGTTTAATTACAGAAAACAAAAGACTTTCACTATTTCCCTACTGTCGTATTTCAGAATGAAAGTGTCTAATTTGGCTATCGAGGGACTGTATTCTATCTGAATGATTGACTTTAAGAATTGTTGTTTGAGTCATGGTATTGAGTTTCATAAAAAGTCAATCAATGCATTGTAGTTCTTTTGAGATTGGAACTGAATTTCTAGCAATTTCTGCAATTGCCCTAAATATTCCTGCTGCCTTTTTATTGCATATTTATATGAAGTACCATTCTCAGCATTGATGGTTATTAAATAAGTATTCATTAACCCTACAAAACATTGAAGATGCTCTAATCCTGCAGGATTAAATATTCAGCTGAGGTCTGACTCTTTACGTAAAACAAATAAGCACATCTAATTAATATGCAAATGTGCCTTAAACTTCAATGAATGGTGAAATGGTATTAATTATATGTGTACTAGATAATTGTTTTGTAATAAATTTCTTAGGATTTCTTGTCAGTAAATGTTTGATTTTCTCACCTATCTGATATTCTTGTATATATACTGGGTCACATAAACATTTCTCAGGCAAAAAGGGTCAAACAAGAACCTTAAGCCGCGTATGGAGACTGGAGACGTAGTTCAGAGGTTACGAGCATGCGCTGTTCTAGCAGAACCCTAAGCCGTGTATGGAGACTGGAGAGGTAGTTCAGAGGTTACGAGCATGCGCTGTTCTAGCAGGGGACCCACATTCACTTCCCAGTGCACAGGTTAGGCAGCTCACAACCACCTGTAACTCCAGCTCCAGGGCATCAGGTGCCTTTCCTGGCCTCCGCGGGCACCTGCACTTACATTCCCACACCCACACACTGACACATATGATTGAAAAATAAAATAAACTTTTTTAAAAAAAGAAGTCTTGTACTAGAACAGAAGACCAGGAACACACACGGCCACAGGAGCCAATGACAGGTCCACGAGATCTAAGCTGCGACTGACGAACTCCTAGGGACTCCGTGTGGACATCTGGAGAGTTAAAATACCAGCACGCATGATTACAAGAAGAAATGTCCGACATTTTTTCATGAGGGAAATGCAAATCGAAAGTATATGGAAAGTCCGTCTCAGCCGTCAAAATGGGCATTGTCAAGGAAATAAACGACAACAAGGCTGGGAAGGATGCCAAGCGCAGTGGGGGGGTCAGGAAGGAGTCCAGAGAGGAGGGTGTGAAAGACAGCAATGGGCAGAATATGGCTGAAGTATGTTATATGCATGGGTGAGATTATTACAAAGGCAAATATCGGTTCATATAATTAACACGGCTTGTGATGGAAATCTCAGTGCCAACCTGGAGGAGGTGGGGGCAATCTTAAGGGACATCCGTATTTTCACAAATTCTTCCTCCTGGAGATATATAAAGTTCTCACAGTGAAATCCCATTTTGCTTCTGATGTAGGAGGAGGAACATATTCACCTTGCAATCTCCCAGAGCACTGTTCTCCTTAATAAGGCCTGCCCTCAAGAAGACTCATTTAGGAACCCAGTCAAGTGACTCCTACCAGATCTCAGCTGACTCTTAGAAAGACAAACACCAAAAACCTAGTCCCTTCTCACCTTCCTGCTTCAGCTAAGAGGGAAGAAAAACTTGAGAAGTATTTGTAAAAGGCGCAGTCCAGGGGCATGTTCTCTCTAACACAGTGAGATGTACCTCAAAATTAGCATACTTCTCTCCACATCCTACCAGATCCTCAGTAAATCTCCTCTGAATACTGAGGAATTTCACCTAGATTGTTTTTACCAGGCCTAAATTATGGAAGTGTCAAACAAGAGGAAAAACACTAACAAGGGCTCCTGAGATATTTTGGCCCCAGATGTCCCCACCCACGGCAAGTCATTTAACACCTACATAAATAAGCAGAGAGCCTTACACTACTTATTGGAGC